TGAACTTGGGACGCCTCAGTCCGCCTTCTAGTGAGGATATTGACCTCCGCACCCCAGGATGCGGATCGCTTTCTAGACGTGCAATCAGATCATGTGCGTTTTCAAGAACAACCACTTGATCGAATTGTTCGAACGCCTAAGTGGTTAGAATGCAACGTACAACGCCATGGTCTGAGGCCGAAGAGCGGGAGTTTTCGCGCCATCGCCGGGCAATTTCTGATAGCGGCCATTATCTGAAAAAATTGATGATGACCGCTATCAAGGGTGACCTAGCAAATGGACAGACGAAACAAAACTAACATATTTTGATAAAAATTTCATGAAAACTTGGATTTTTTGAACACAAATAGAAGGAAATAAATAAATAATTCTCGTATGCATTTTTGAGAAAACTAAGGGCCGTGTTGCTCCACGCATTAACATCCTCCCCCCTCCCCCCCCCCAGGAAGAGAGTCACAGCTTAAAAGAAAGCTTCAATATCGTGAAGCTTCAGATGCCTGGCTTTCACGCCGTATAAAATATTCTCAGGTATTCTTACCACCCTTCACTATGAGCATATTGAACAGGGGCAAGAAGCCGTACAAGCCGCATTTTCCAGCTTTTTTTGTGAGCCCCTGATGATCACGGTCGACCGTTCTTTCTTCGAAGTGATTTTTCTTTTATCGAAATTAGCGAAAACCTTTCGACTTACTGTTCATCTAACATAACAGTGGTAAGCATGTTTGTGATGAAAACAAATGATTTTTTTTGAATCGAATTTTTCGTTAAACCCCAACTTTCGACCTGTGCTTCATCGCAAATTTGATTCCAAAACATCATGTGTTCTTATCAGCAACACGCTTAGCACTGCCAGGTTAGATAATTTGTACAACCTTAGAAGCTTTTTGTTAACTTTGAAGGCAAAAAATGACTTTGAAGAGGCCGTCGTGGATCATCAGGGGATCATACAAAGGGCTGGAAAATGCGACTTGTACAGCTTCTCGCTCCTGTTCAATATGTCCACTGAATAGTATAGTAGGAACACTTACTAAAGGTAGGCAGCGCGAAACCAGAAGCTGGGACCTTTAAGATATGAAGCTTTCTTGCAAGTTGCGATCCCCTTCCCTGGGATGTTAATGCATGCGGCCCTAAGCCTGCTCTGTTAAAATTTTTTGAAAAACCTTTACCCTTGCTTTCCTTGTCGCGATCAGCTGTTCATTAATCCCTCCCATTTAAGGCCCCGAATTGTACAGTTTTGATTTCGCATCGCAAAAACATGCCAACTTGAGAACTTTCCTGCATCACAATAGATGAGTCAAGTATACGGTTTGGAGGAAGTGTCTGGTGGTCTAGATCGTTGGTTGAAGAGTGATTAACTCGCTTTCAGGTTTCTGAAGACCTCATTTAGCCGAGACAACAAATAGAGTGTTCCTTTGAAAACCTGTTACGGCCAAAACACAATTGAACAATATCTACAAAACATGAAAAGGTTTTACAAAAAGCAGACATACAATCTATGCCAATTGAATTGTCCCGTAAGTTACTCATGAGCAACTCACGAGAATTTCGTCTGATCCTCCTCTTTTGCACACTATATCCTGGCTCACCCACCCTCCCCTCGGCCAAAATTCTGTTGAACTGACCGTGGCTTTTAACCAGGAGGTCTTCTGACCGTTCAGCTGACCATCATAAAGCAAGGGAAGGTAAGCGGTATTAAGCTCAGCCTAAAAAGTTCTTCTGAATGAATCATTTCAAGCATAGATGCGATAGGTGGAGAAATTTCTCTGACCCCTTTCACCTGAGGGGTTGAGACTAGAATCAAGAATAACGGCAGAATTGAACAGCTGTTAAACGGTACTTTTAGAAATAAAGCCAGCTGATCTTCTTCTCAGACATCGAGACTGCAAGAGCATCGAAGCAACACTGTTTTATCGAAAAAACGCATGTTTGAGACCTCCTGCGCGCTCAAAGTGGTGTTCATAACAAAACATAATCATAAACTAAAAGAATGTCTGATTCTTCAAATACTTACTATTGTATCAATGAATACACATTGTCGCAAGAAAGAGTTGGACAAGATTAGAACATCTGGAACTGGCCAATAATGAATGCATGTTTACTACCAAGAATCCACCATACCTCCTTTCACTAGAGAGAATAATAACAATTAAAAGAGCAGTTAGATTATTCGTTTCCCAAGTTTTCGAATCATATGTATAATTTCAATAAAGACCTTGGTTTCAAACATGAAGCATCAAACAGATATCCAGAACTGGCTGATAATGTAGCTAGATAGAACTGCTCATATCTTGCTTCACAGGAAAGCTACGAAAAAAGAGACGGTCTTGTCGATTCCTCGTTTTCTTAGCTATCGAATGGTACACAAACTTTGGTGCATACATAAAGCTTTCCCAGCCCTAAAAAGTCTTGTTCCAACGACCCATAAAAGCCAAGCATTTGCGGAGCGGGGTGGAGCAAGCCAATGGTAAATATCTCCACCTCAATTTGAAAAAACACGAATTTTTCCACTCAACAACCTATATACGATTAGAAAGCTCACGAAACGGGGATTCGAAGTAAACCGTCTCTTTTTCTCTAGCTCCACTCTGCTTAGAAATGGGAGACGGCCCTTCTGTACCGCTAGCCTTAGCAGCCTAATTACCGCGCGCCTCTGATTGGTCGGCGCTGCCGTGAGAGAGTTAGGCTGTCGTTGGAGGCGCAGGCGCTCTCATTAGACGAGTTAGGTAAAAGCACTTTTCTAAAGAGAAGAATCAAAGAAGAACTTGGGCTCTAACATGGGAATCAGATTTAGCATGTGGGTGGCTTACGTAGATTTTTAGCTATGTGCAAATTTTGCGGTGGTTTGGAGAACTGCGAAGAGGAAATTAGGAAATAGAGAGTAAAAAAAATTTAATCTTCCCCGATTTTTGTCTTCTCATAAAACATCGACACTATTATCGACCGAAAATGCGCACTCGCTTGCTTTGAAATACTTCGACTATATGAAAACTCTGTTAAATCATGAAAAAGGCAAAGTGATTACCGCCGCTCTAGGGCAGAGTAATTAGCGCTAGGACGGAGCGGTTCAGAAGGGCATACACCCCTTAGAGATACATGGCATTTTAGCCAACATGTGTTTTTGTGGTTAAATTTTTATGCAAAAAGTGGATGAAGATGCTTGTTTAACTCTATTACAGAGCAAGCCTTCACCAGTAAACGTAGACTGTCTCTTTTTTTCTGGCTTTCTTCTTTCTTTCAGAAATGGAGCGCAAAGTGATTGCATACAATCAGCCAATGCTGAAGCTAAATATGATTTTTTATATCTGAGTTCACAGGAGAGGAAAATAGAGACGGTCTACGTCGATTCTGTATGTTCAAGCTTTCGAATGGTATGTCAGTTGATGGAAGATAAGGGCTTTCCTGAGTCAAAAAAGTCTCTGTGGATGACATTCCAAAGCCTAAGCGTTGAGAATATCTATTGCACCTCTGTACCACCTGTTTTCCTTCTTTTCACTCCCGCTCTCGTTAAAAAGGGGAGCTCGCGTCAGCATTCATTTTAAGGCTTAGTTACCCCTTCCATTTTTCTAAGCCGGCAATAGCCAAAACCCCCTTCACTTGGAAGAACACTGCTCCCCCTATCGCACTTATGATCTCAAGTCGACTGAGGTCCCCGCCAGAGTGCCGAAGCCACGCCAGCGCTACGCCGGCTCCGAGCCAGCGTTTCGATCGATACACGTGCATTTCGTTAGGGCGGGGCCCTGGCTGAGAACTAGGTCAGCTAGCCCCGCCCCAACGAAATACACGTGTATCGATCGAAACGCTGGCTCGGCGCCGGCGTGGTGGCGTGGCTTCGGCACTCTGTCGGAGGCCTGAGATGAATGGGGGTTTACCACTGGTCAAAACCTTGAAATACGCTCTGTGCAGCTAGCTCTTTTTGGCTAAAGAAAAACATTTTCGATTGTTTTTTCGGCTGGCATTCATGGTGTAGACCACCTTGCCAAACAATCATGACTCTGTAAGAAGTATGAACACCAACAACCTGATGGGCGTCAATAGCCGGGTGCATCCGTCTGACGCGCAATTCCAAAAGATCTGTTTATTGATCGGCTCGTACTTCTGTAATATGAAACACCCGTTTGTTCCGCAAAATTTTAGCTTTAGACTTTGACTGCAACTTACTTTGTGGATCTCGTAACAGACAGCTACACAGGTACACTCACAAAGCGATAGACGGCCTAAGTGCTTTATCATCCTACTATAATAATGCGCTAAGGCCGTCTGTTTTTTTGTCTGTGTGTGTCTGTGTGAAAATCTGTCTGTCACGAAATTTATAGAGGAAGCTGCAACTAAGCTATCGGGCTGCAATTTTGCATAACATACCGTGCCAGGGTGTAGGCCCACCATGCACAAGGACGAGCCGGTTCGATAAGCGGGTCCCTCAAAATTTGCGCCTCAAACGGGTCCACGCGCCTTTTGGTGCGCTAAACTGAGTCGCTAATTCAATTTTTTGCAAAGTTATGATTTGCCTGACAAGTAACTCTGTGCGCCATGAATTCTAGCCCAAAAGGTACTCAAAAAGTTTGCTTTTTGCGGAAACAGCGCCAAAAAGTGATGAACACGTAGATAGTCGATTTGGCAATGTTTATCTTTGAAAAATTGAAAAGATTTCTGCACTGAATAGCCCAAGGTGACTATTATCCTTATGACGATTATCAAACTAAAATAAACTCAGTAATCCGTTTAAATTTGCATTTGTTTCTTTGCAACAAAGTTTTTTTTCTCAAAACTACCTATCTTACATGGAGATACTTTATGAATGAACAGTTGTTTACGATTCATTTGTGGTGCTCAGCATCGCGTGGTGAGTTTCAAAGCCATTCTCATGCGAACATGAGAAAGGCATACGGATAGGAGAGCCAGTGCGAACCTCCGCGAGGCGGAGGTAACGCACTGGTTGAGTAATAATAGAGGATGACGTTTAACTTGTATTTCATTCCTTGGAACAAATCGATCATTTGAAGGATATCACTCCTTTTCGATGTGATGAATGCAACTCCACAGACCTATTTTGGATTAGGCCTTATGCAACTGGAAGTCCTAATATGCGGTTCTTGAGAGATTTCATCAGTGCTCAGTTTGGTTCTGAACTCAATTACTCTACAAAAGCTTGGGAAGAGGTTTGTTCTTTGAGCAAAAATTTTGCACATGGTCATAGCTGTGTGTGTATAGGTTGAAATTGCATTTTACCTTGACGTTATGCGTCTGGTGTTAGAAACACTGACGAGGAAACGATCGAATACTACTCTCTCTTCCATATCCAAGGACGTTACCTACGTTTTTGCTGATGTGTTAGACGTGCTTAACAATTCTATGCCGCAGTTCGGAGGGTACAAGCAGTTTGACGCTACTGCAACAATTTTTTACCAGGCATGGGTTTAATATTAAGTTGTCTTAAAAGTAAACTCCATTTTCAAATAACTTGAGCTGTTTTTGTTTTTCCTGACAGATTTAGGGTACCATTTGATAGAGCAGAGCAAGAAACAGAAAGGCCACCAAAGATCCATCTAGGTCGTAACAAATTTAAAATTTGGAGCCAAAAATCAAAATTTTCCACCTACCCTGAAAATCGGATCTCCTTCCACAAAATTTCTGCTGACTTCCAACTTGGTCTTCATATAGTAAACACATAGTAGTACCCCAAAATATATTCGTTAATTTTTTGCGGGGCTCAATATTCAGAAACAAAGATGGTCCAAAAATGCCAAATTGCCACTTTTTTCGGTTTTTTTAATGTAAAACTTGGTATTTCTCGAACATAAGAGCACATACGGGGGTGTAATTTCAAGCGTATACTTGTTGAGGCTTGTAGTATACAATGACATATGTGGGAAGGGCTGAGGGCGAAGTTTGCCATTTTTGGACAATTTTTGTTTCTCGCTTTCTATGCTCGGAAAAAATTCGGTAAAGGCATAGTTGAGTATTACTACGTGCCTACTGTATAATGAACAAATTGGAGATCCGTAGGGCTTTTCTTCGCAAAAATCTACTTTTTGAAGTGACAACTTTTTCCGATTTTGGCTTCAAATTTTACATGGAATGCGACTGAGGTCGTCCTTGTTGGTCGTTTTGTAGAGCATGATCTGCTCTATCGAACGATACCCTAAGTACACTAGAAAAACAAGAATAGCTTGAACTATTCAAAAAGGAGTTTACTTTTGGGACAAGCTAATAGTTTGGATTCCTGTACTTTCAATCCTTTAGAATATTTTGGCCAAGGTCATTAGAACTGAGAGGACAAGCGATCACCCAGAAGAGACTTATAATAAGGAGGTTTGACTTGTTTGAAAGCAACACTTACAAGGGAAGGATGATCGGTCGAAGTGGCCATTTGGAATGAGCTGTGTATTAGGGAACCGTCCTCGTTAAGGCAAACTCAAAACTACTTTCGCTAGGTGCCTAGCGGTTTTGTGGCGGGAGTTACAAGGCCATTTTCCTCCGGCGCAGCCGGCGCACCCAGTGATGGGCGAGACGCTAGAGCAACGTGGAAGTGTTGCGGTGGCGCAGTGGCAGGACGGCGGACTCAGAGGCAGATGGTTGAGGGTTCGAGTCCTGTTGCTGCTACTTTGTTTTGCAGTTCTGTAAAAAGTGTATTGGGTGACAGTAAACGGAAAATACTCATTTCTAGGCAGTTAAAACAAGCTATTTACTGCAAAAAAGTCTATTTCTACAATAAGCTATAATCTTCTACAATATGTAAATCTGTGGAGGTTATGATGTCACAACAAGGGATTCAAATGATATATTAACATGTATTGAATACAACCACAAAATGCTAAATGCAGAAATGCAGCGCGCACATCGGATAAAATATAAACGATGACAATCGGCAGCTTCACAATTGCCTGTCAAAGTCGGTGAAAAGCAGTACTGAAGAGGAGACTCGAATTCGCCGGAGTGGTTATCAATGTATCCGGCTGCATGCCATGGGTATGAAAGGAAATTTTTGAATCGCGGCGAGCAAAACTATGTGAATGAGCGATAAGACCTTAAGGGGGAATCCCTATGATGCAAGGTAAAGTTCAGACCAAGAGCCAATACATGGGATGTAAATCGATTGCAATTTTGCAAGTGAGCGCGCTGCGAGAAGCTCTTCTGCTTTGAGTATTTTGTGGTTGTATTCCATGCATGTTAATATATCATTTGAATTCATTGTTGTGACATCATAACCTTCACAGATTTACATATTGCAGAAGATTAAAGCTTACTGTAGAAATAGTGACTTTTTTGCAGTAAATAGCTTGTTTCAACTGCCTAGTAAATGAGTATTTTTCGTTTGCTGTAACCCAATAGGCTTTTTATAGAACTGCAAAACAAAATAGCAGCAACATGACTCCAACCCTCGACCATCTGCTTCGTAGCCCGATGTCTTGCCACTGCGCCACCGCCACACTACTGCTCTGTTTTAGCGCCTCGCCCATCACTGGGTGCGCCGGCTGCGCCGGAGGAAAATGGTCTTGTAACTCCCCCCACAAAACCGCTCGGCACCTAGCAAAAGTTGTTTTGAGTTTGCCTTACCGAGGACGGTTTCCTAATATACAGCTCATTCCAAATGGCCACTTCGGCCGATCATCCTTCCCTTGTTAGTAGCAGCAATTTTTGCTTTTAAGAACTTCTTTCATTTAGATTGCTTCTTGGACAACCGTGGACAAGCTCACGCTACTCTACGACAGTCTTGACATAGATATTAAGACCATAGAAACTTATCGTATCGTTACTGCGGCTGTAAGGTTTCCTCGATGACATCATAGGCGTAAAACTCACTCTAGGCAGCTCACTTCGAACGTTTTTACTCTTCTGCCAGAGGCCCGCCGCAGATGTACTGAAGTTAAACTAAACTTCTTTTTTTTGTGGCACATAGCGAAAGGGTTGTCGCAGGACATGCAAACTTACATTAAAGCCTCCAAATGTGCCCACCTGCTTCACAGTTCTCATATTAAAATCTTCCTAGCCATCAACAAATCATATATAACCTAATATTTGTTCTTATATTCAATGATCTGAAAACCACCAAATATGAGAACAGGAATTAGGACATATATTTCATTATTTTTCACATAAGGTGGTTGAAAAATGTATTGTATACAAATGATGTAAATTTGGTGTATGGTCTAAATCCGGTCACCGAACTAACCGGTTTGGTTTGGAGAATGACTATAAAATAATTTACATAAGTTTTGCACCTTCTGGTTTTGCTAAGAATTGCTATGAATCCATCTCACAATGGATGTCCGATTAATCGATTCGAACTTTTCAAAGGGCTATGAAGTGCATCAAATGCTGATTTCGGATCTGATTTCACTATCTACCAAGCGACTCTGCAAGCCGAGTTATGAGTGTTTTTTGTGCGAAAAATGAACACATAATCTGGGTAAAATCAAATATCGCCTTTTGCCTGTTTTTTTTTTGCCAAAACTCTGTACAAATACATTTATTGTCACTGAACACAGTTTCAACATAGCATCCATCCCTCAAATTAAACTCTACAGGATTTGAAATAGTTGCGAAGAAATGAGAAGTAATGCTTAAAGCTAATAGTTACAATACGTGCCAGGGTCTGACTTCTGCATGCCGGCATATTGCGTTTGGGAAGGTGACATACACTGGCAACAGAAATGGTTAGGTTGCGCTTCAGAGGTGTACAGGGCTTATCAAACGCAGTGTCGCTTGCATCAGCATCTCCATTCCCGCGCTGGACTCTGCGTCTCTTCCGCGAATGTGCTCTCTAATCACTCCCAATCGGTTGAGGCTCCGCCTTCCCCCACGCTCGCCCTGGGAAAGTGATCAGAGAGCATGTTCTCGGAAGAGATGCAGATCCATAGTGGGAGTGGAGATGCTGGTGCAAGCGACATTCCGTTTGATAAGTCCTGTATCTGTGCAGCTTTTTTTTCAATATTTTTGAGTTCACATATAGTAGTGATCATCGGCATTGATGTACATTAGGCAATTCCAAAGCATATATAATATCAGGACATTAAAAGTTTTGTTACACTATGCATGTACTCCATTCTCCATAGAACAAAGACCAATAAAAATTTTTTGACGCAGTAGCGCATTGACGCGAAAATAGCAAATATGACGGGAAATCTTCTCTTTGGTATAATTTCTTTCTTAAAACATAGCTTGTACAGGAAAGGAGGATTTGGAAAAAATCATTAGAAAGGTTCCAAGCTTGCTATTTATAGCAAAGAGGAACTGTTTGCGGACTCTAAAGGTAATTGAGTGGGTCAGGCACAAGACTACGAAATCTCACGCAGCTTAAAGGCACCGTCCACCCTAAGTTAAGGGTGTTGAGCTTTTGGCAGCGTATAATAGTAGGGACCCCTATCAATCCACTGCCCAAGTCGCGGCGCAAAATGCCGCTTCGGAAGCGAGAAAATCGCTTCGGAATAGCGAAGATGCACGAGGACCCCCATCCACGCCCGCCCTCCCACATCCATGCCCGCCCATTTGTGCGCGCCCATCCAATCACCGTTCCGGAAAGCCGGCCTGTGGGCTCTTCGAAACAGGTTGTTGGGGTTTTCGCGTATTCTCGAATTCATATTCGGAATCAGAGACATGAGAAGGCCCTGAAACGACAAAAACATCGAAGTCGAAAATCTGGGTGGACGGTGCCTTTAACCTTTTGACCTAGTGCCTGAAAAATTGGCTTTATCCCCAAGGAAGCTTTTTCACCAAAGTTTTATGTCGTTCTTAATACATAACTCTTAGTGCCGCATGCATTGGGTTGTTTTACACTGCAGTCGCTGCAGTTATGCAGTCATATGGGGGCGGGCAAATATCGATCGCTTGACTGCCGTTGCTGCAGCTACTGCAGTATGAAACAACCCATTATCATCCCCGCCGGGGAGGAGATCGCGGCTTAAAAAGAGCTTCATTTAACCTCCAATATTTACGGTCAAATGACCGTTTTGAATTCTTACATTTAGTACTTCGGGGGGGGGGGGGAGAAGGTTTATCGTCTCGTATATCGTAATATCGTATCGTACCAAATAGTATGTACATTCAAATGCAACAAAAGGATGAAAATATACACAGAACAGTTATGCGTGAGATTGCATAACCGTCACTAGCACGTATTATGCAGGAACATAGGACTATAACAATTGAATGGCGACTTCAAATCTGACTGAGCAGAAAACATTGAAAAACAATATCTTAAATGGCTCCAGATTCACGAGGCTGTGTACAACGACGATGGCTATTAACTAAATAAACAATATATATATATGCAAAACTGTGGCCTCCTTAGAGCAAGACCTATTAGAGAGAAGCTGAGAAGAAACCTAGAATAAGGCCTCTTTGGACCGAGACTTAATAATAAGAGGCCGAATGCGAACGAAATATTCGGAAATGTACATGTCATCAAATTATAAGTTATCAGAGCATTGAAAGAAACACAGAAAAGGAGCAACACGAACTGATATGGAAACCTCGAAAATCCTATACCGCCACTGGATCGATGTATGCCTTGAACGACGTAAACGTCTTCCACCTTCCTGCCAGCATAATTTTGTGAGAATCCGAGCCTTTGTTGAGCGCATTGGTGGCCGCTCCGCCTCGAAAGGAATGTGCCGTGAGCTTCTTTGCTCCGAGACCCGCTTCTCCGAGGGCTTTTTGAATCTGGCGGGCTGCGTAATCTTTAGACATTGCTGATCCTCCTCTGCAACTGAAAATATGATTGGATGGTGATGTAGGCGGGTAAGCGTCACAATAGTGATCCCACAAATCTTGCGCGATGCTATCCCAGTGGAAGGCGACTGTAGAACCTTCGCCTTTTTGGTCTGTTTTTGACTTTCTAATGAGCAGCCACCAAAGCGCATCTCCTTGATAAGATAAATCGGAAAAGCGTAGAGAGCAGATTTCTCCGAGTCTCAAAAATGCCGAAAATGCTAACAGAATCATCGTTGCTGCTCTAAGTGCCGTTTTTGACTGAGTTTTCAGCGCCCATTCAATCATGTGAGTGACGTCCTCGAGCGTTGCTTTGGTCCGGTGACGGGTCGGTGGACCCCTCCTGGCTGCCATACGCACAAGTGCTTTCTGCACCTCGAGATCATCGCCTGCCATTGGTCCAAAAAAGTGGCTTAGCGCTGCGATATGATATCCTAGGCTTCGCGACTTGCCTTTGTCGATAAGATGAGCGACGAACACGTTACGGAGCTTTGATAGAGCCGCGAGCGGAACATTGAAATTTGCAATGAAGCTCAAAAAGTTCTTCTTGACTCTTTTGTAGATATTAAGCGTTCCCGGCGCTACTGAATTGTTGATGCATGAGTCGATTATAGCTGCGACTGAGTCTAGGCCCCGCTGGGATGCCACAAATGCCGTAACTGAGGCATTTCTCCGTCTATGATCGAGGAGAAAATCTGAAAAAAAATGCCTAGTTGCTTCCCAAAAAATTTTTTAAAATCTCTCATCGGGTGGGCGGGCGGGTCTGTATGAGACGAAAAACCGGAATGGTTTCCCTATGCCCCATACCTTCTTATACTCAAAAACCCCGCCCCTATATGTCCAAAGTACATGGACATATCCCCCAGTCACAGACGAGGCATAGCCAGATCGTAAACGCTATGCCTCGAAGCAATCGTTATGCCACGCATAACCCCAAGATATGGGTCACTCCATGTACTTTGGACTGACCCGTCCACCAAGCACCTCGAAACAAAATGCGAATTCAAAACACCAATATCATGAAGCTTCGGATGTGTGGATTTCACGCAGTACAACCTGTCCGTAAGTATTCTCACCATCCTTTTCTATGAACATACTGAACAAGAAGGTGTACTAGCCGTATTTTTCACCTTTTTCTATGATTCCCTAATATCCCGCGCGGCCGACCGTCTATTCTTTGAAGTCATTTTTCTCCTTCGAATAACAAAAACCTTCCAAAGTTGTATTGATTATCTAACAAAACAGTGCTGAGTATGTTGCTTAAGAACAAATGAGTTTTTGAAATATCGACTTTTTCGATAAACCCTACTTCTGATGTGGTTCATGCGAAATCCATGACTTCGAAACATAACTTTTTCACCAGAACCATGATTAGCACGGTTGGGTTAAGATAAGCAGCACAACTTTGGAATGTTTTTGATGACTCTCTAAAAGAAAAATGAGCTTGAAGAAAAGGCGGTCGGCAGCTGGGGGATCTTCAAGGAAACGTACAGAAAGCTGGAAAAAGCGGCTTATATAGCTTTTTGCTCCTGTTCAATATGTTCATAATGAAGGAAATACTTCCGGAAAGGTAGATAGCGTAATATCCAGATATCTGGAGCTTTGGGATATGAAGCTTTTTTTAAGCTGCGATCCCCTCCCCGGCGGGGATGTTAATGTTAATGCATGCAGCCCCTAGATTACACATTGGGTGCATGAGCTTACTTGAACTTATCTGGGCTATGGTAGTCCGTAGAGCGAAAGCACTCGATGTTTCGGGAGCGGTTTCAAATCACTACTTGGAAACGGCAAAAGATGAAATTTCTGGCATTTGGCAAAAATTTTTGCTTTTTACGAATATAAAACCTTGAAGCCAACTTTTTTGACTTTGAAACTAACTCGTCTTAAAAACTGTATCAGGTAATGACTTCTAGACCTCATGGATGTAATTTGACGTGCTGATTACGAAAAATAACTCATATTTACATGGTAGAGTCTTTTGAGTAGCTTACGGTAAGTGTGCGGTAGAAAATGAAGATTTTCGGATTTGGTTATACAATGGTGGCAGTTATAAGCTATGTTGTTTACAACTGTGATCAATTCGTGCACTGAACAGCAATTTTAATTCGGGGAGAGCTGATTGATACAAATCTGGTGCTTTAGTTCTTCACTTTGCCCAAGCGTAGTATTGTCTTTTTGATGGAAATTTACTTGCTTACAACCATCCTTTTTAGTCAACTCCACAAAACAACCTGGGGTCTGGTCGGCGCGTCCGGACCTGGCGGTCGTAATGAGAATAAAAACGAGGGGAAATTAGATTCAAAAATAGAATTTGTTCGATATTGAGGATATGTTACGGTCGAGAAAGGTGAAGGAGAAAGGCTAGATCGGTGACGAAGAAATCAGTCCCGTGAACAGTGTACTGAGTAACCCACCATCATATTCTCAACCTGATTTCACCTCTTTTCTTAGCTTAAACATATCGTCAAGTCACCAAAAAACCTTGTTGTGTAAATTGAGTGTGGCCGTAATCAGCATGTCAAATTACTTCCACAAGCTCTACAAAACATTGCCTGTTGCACTTCGAGTGTTTCTTAACGTTTAAAAAGCGTGACCTTCAAACTTGATTAACTCAGTTTCATTGGTGAAAGAAGTCAATTCATCATACTCAGGGCTCGGCACGAGGTGGCTAGTTGAAAATGCAAAAAACGAAGTCCCCCTTGACTTTTGCAATTTTCGAAGTCCCCTTCGACCGTAGACCAGAGTTCGGCACGAGGTGGCGTCCAGAAATTGCAAAAAATGAAGTCATCTTTGACTTCACTAAAATTACGACATCCGCCACGAGATAATCGAAGAGAAAATACATGAAAAGAAACGGAACAAAGCAACAGCAGAAAAAAAACGAAATGAATCATCAAACACACGCGATGATAATCATATTCTCCGGAATGGCGGCATGATGTATCCATCGTGCAGCAACACGCGCCTAGAGCAGCCTTTCCGCGGCCATCTAAAATTTTCAAGGGGCTATAACTAAGCGGGGAGAAGGGGGTTTGAGGCGGTTTAGGAACCAGTTTGTAGGGTTTGGGATGTAGATGGAAAGTATGTAAAGAAAGTAGAAAAATTATATGAGGGAGGAAAAATTTATGACTTTTTCTTTCCTAAGCCACCTCAGGTGGCTATCCAGGTGGCTTGAAAGCCACTTAACTCCGAAAAAAGTTGAGCACGCCTTTAGTTCACATAATTTTTTCATAATTTTTCATACTTAGTCCTAACTCCCCATTGCCCATCTACACACCTATTTTGGTGTCATTTCATCTTCACTTCGCTGTAAACAAACCTTTTGTTTATTTGCTGGCAGCGTGCCGGCCGCAGACCGAAAGACAACGTTATGATCTACCGCAAAAACGATATCCCCTTTGCTTTTTTTCCACAAACGATATCCAGCTTGCTTGCCAAGCCACCTGTGCCGTGACCTGATCATACTCATAACAAAGTAACACTCTCCATTAGTCTACGCTACAAATCAGATTTTATCGCTTCAACTTGGTACCTATGATAGAGTCTTTGAGGTTTTTGCTAGCGAACGTAAAACTTGGGTAAAAAGCTTCTTTGAAGATAAAGTTAATGGGATTGGGCACAACTCCTCAAAAGGTCAGGATCCCTGAGCCTTATGCCTGACCCCCACTCCACTAACTTGTCTTTAAAATTTCTTTCCATTCTTGGTAAGAGTTTGAGGTCAAAGCTTCTTCTTGTGAAAATTTGAAGCCAAACACCCTGTCCCTGAGAAAATTATGACTCTTTCAATATGCCCATTTGGATCAACCGCCGACCAAAGCGTGCTGGTGAAAATGCCTTTACGCTACACGGCTGGGGGGGGGGGGGGGCGTACAGACTTTAAAAGTCATAAACTTAAGACAGCACGTCCAGAGTGTCACACTCTGAAGATCCGAAGGTGAAATCAAGGGGGGGGGTTAGTTTTTGAAAGACTTGTGCATTACCTCCTGCTTAACTCTGCCTACGACTGGAGAACTATCGATTCAAAGTGTTGAATAATTAGAGAACATGTCTTGTCCTTGCGACTTGGCATTAAGTTTTCTTTTAGCGACTGTTTGACATAGAAAGAAAACAGAAGTTATATTCCACTTGTCCTAGCAAAAAAGCACTTAAATATTTAGAAATTGTTTGAAATACGTTACAGTGCGGTATTGAGCTGATCATAATCAAATATTATTCAGTTCATATTTTCATATCATTCAATTCAATTCCTATTAAATCGTAAATATATCTTGACTTTGGCTTTGCAAAAAATGCGATATTTTCCAAAGTGTTTCTATGACCTAATTTCTGGTCTGTGTTGTCACTCTGAACGTCTCCATTTCAAGAAATTTAGTCAAAGCTGTTTTCTAGCAAGAACCATTCATTCAACTGAGCGAGGATCCCGATAAGCCCTTTGAAGGCTACTGTATTGATCTCATAGAGCTGATTCGCGAAGAGGTTGTCAATTATTCTTCCAGAAACTTACATTTGGAAATACTTGCTAGTTTAGCTGAATTTCACGTATACCATCTACGGAGTGGAAGATGGATCATTTGGCGAAGGTGATCAAAACGGTAACTGGGACGGTATTATTGGTGCACTGTGTAAGTTTTCCATCTTATATATAAAGCTGAATGTCTGTTTGTATGTCTGTCTGTATGTCTGTCTGTATGTATGTATGTATGTACGTATGTTCCGAATAGAAAATTCCATTTCTGAACCGATCCGGACCAAACTTGGCACACATACACTACGGGCCCCGGCGGGTGTCATAGGCTACTTTTCGTCATCGATCGATATCGATTTTATCGATTTTTATCGATTTTTTTGCTGAGTTCACCTACGGGGCTGGGAGTTGGCACAGGGGGGTAATCGAGCATGGGGATTCCGAATACAGTATTGGTTTTCAGGATTATCGATTACTTTTATCGATTTTATCGATTTTTTTGCAAAGTTTGAGCTACGGGGCTGGGAGTTGGCACAGGGGGGTAATCGAGCATGGGGATTCCGAATACAATATTGGTTTTCAGGATTATCGATTACTTTTATCGATTTTATCGATTTTTTTGCAAAGTTTGAGCTACGGGGCTGGGAGTTGGCACAGTGGGGTAATCGAGCATGGGGATTCCGAATACAATATTGGTTTTCGGGATTATCGATTACTTTTATCGATTTTATCGATTTTTTGCAAAGTTTGAGCTAGGGGGCTGGGAGTTGGCACAGGGGGGTAATCGAGCATGCTGATCATCCCCAAGGGGGTGATCAGCATGCTCGATTACCCCCTGTGCCAAATTCCAGCCCCCTAGCTCAAATTTTGCAAAATCGATAAAATCGATAGAAGTAATGGATAATTCCAAAAACTAATATTGTATTCGTAATCTGCATGCTCGATTACCCCCCTGTGCAAACTCCCAGCCCCGCAGGTCAAACTTTACAAAAAAATCGGTAAAATCGATAAAAGTAATGGACGATCCTGAAAACTAATATTGTGTTCGTAATCAGCATGCTCGATTACCCCCCTGTGCAAAATCCCAGCCTCGCATGTCAAAATTTACAAAAAATCGATAAAATCAATAAAAGTAACCGATAATTCTGAAAACTAATATTGTATTCGGAATCCCCATGCTCACTTCCCCCCCTGTGCCAACTCCTAGCCCTGTAGGTGAACTCTGCGAAAAAATCGATAAAAATCGGTAAAATCGACATCGATCGATAACGAAAAGTGGACTATGACACGCTCCCTGCCCCGAAGTGTATGTGTGCAAAGTTTGGTCCCGGGCGGAGCCGGGTTTGCCATCTAGTCAGTTTTTATGATTTGATTTCTCCTTATCAAAATACTGAATCTTGTCACTATTACTTACGAGTTTAAATGTTATTCATGTAGTATAGTATCTATCAAGCGAAATCATTCTCTTCCACTATGTACTTCACTTGAGTTACCCGCAAGCTCTTACAAGGAAACGATACTTGGTGACCCCGGCCATGTGGAATGCGATGTATACCATAAGGTGCATCTCTAAACGCGGATTCTAAATCTGTGCTCGAAATCTGCGAAATTTTTATTAATGATTTTCACCCTTCGCCGTAGCGCAATTCATTTTTAAAAAATAATCATAATTCCATCCAGATTCTCGCTTCGCAGATTTGAAAAACAGTAATCGAACCAGCATTAAAAGGTCCATTCTTTAGTATACAAATTATTATGAATGGCCGGGGTAACCAAGTATCGTTCCCTGCTTAGTAATATCTACTTTTCTGGCTTTGTCTCTTGGAAAAAGTTGGTACATTTAAGTGTCGGGATCCGCAGACATTGCTTTGGGTCCTATAAGTGTGACCGCGGAGCGCGAGAATGTTGTTGACTTCACAGTGCCTTACTATGACCTCGTCGGTAATTCTATTCTGATGAGAAAACCTGAAGTGAAACATTCTCTGTTTAAGTTTATGCAGGTAATCTACTTTCAACCACACCTCAAGAGCAATTTATCATAAAATATTTAAGGTATTGGAGTGGCCTGTATGGGTGTGCATAGTGGCTGCTTATATTGTAATGAGCATCGCTCTTTGGCTCTTTGATCGAATCAGTCCATACTCTTATACCAACAACAAGAAGAAGTAAGGTTATGGATTGAAACCTACATCATACATTATATCGCTCCGAGATCTTGTCCGCTTCCTAGGAGCTATCGTAAAATCAGGCGGCCAGAATTTGTTTTGATGTTTTGAGAGTGCCGCTGAATAAAAGTTAAGTTGGAAGGCGGGCATTAGCCGCGTTTTCCAAAACTATTTTCTGAGTGCTTTGTAAGTCTCAGAGGGCGTGCCCCTCCCCCCCCCCCCCCCCACCCCCTGGCTAAAAATATTTCTTTACAAGGTTTATTTGATTTTTACTTCCAGAAACCCCCTCAGTCCGCAACTGAGCAGCGGTATCCTACGCAGCTTTTTTTAACAGTTACGTCAACGAACTGACTGCTATCTTTTGTATTAATTTGGGTAACGAAAAGAATATCCAATCGCTCCAATCTTTAGCTTAGATTCCTTCTTTCAAAGAAAGCTCAATAAAAGGCGAAAAGTGAGAAAAGTTTCCTATGCAATACTTTCTTGTAAGCTCTTCCAAAGGTTTTGGGTTTGCTGAATTTCTAATTTGATTGGGTCATATACTCAGCTTACTTGAACCTCAAAGATTGTTAGCTATGCAATAATTATCAATCAGTCTTACTTACTGCCCTTTGCCTGCTTATATTAGGTCGTTTCAAAAGTAATGTCGCTTTTTCAAAATGTACGCCACATCTCGTGGAACAAAGTGTGTAAGAGATTCTGGTAGCATTTGACGCAGCATTTTATTCTCTTTCTAACGGTTATACAAACACTGCACAAAACTCAACAGTCTTTCGAAAAATTTTCAAATTCTGCGACCCCTTGCTTTGAGAAGGCCAAGTTTCACCATTTTTCTAAATTTTTATAACAACCCTCGCAAGGAGCCCGAGTAATGGATCGATAGGGCAAACATTACTGGAAACAGCACAACTTTTTTCTACTTTTCAAAGCTCGTCATAATTTTTGTATAGATTTTTTGATGGAACCATCGAATTTTAGCAGGTTCGCCTCAGACACAAATGCATCAAACACCAATAAATATTCGGATTTTGAAATTGACAAATATGGATTATTGTTTGACACTAGTTTTACAAACCAAATGAGCATTCAACGTTTCAGAGTAGCGAGTTTTGGAAATTCCGGATACAGCCTGTGGACGCCCTGAAAACCCTGAATTATATTGATTTTATCCCGGAAAACTTGACGAATCGGAAACAAATACAACCGCTAGAAAGAGGAGAAAAAGCTGCGTCGAATGACACCCGAGTTGCTTGCCGGTTGTTGTTCTGTGAGGTTTGAGTTGACCAAATATGGAATTTGATAGCATTGAAAATTTGATTTCAGAAACTCCAAGAAGCAAGCTAAGGAAAAGTAAAAAATTACTCTGTGTCCTATAGTGTTTGCTATATTCATATGTTACTTGCACATCTTCGGGGAATCAGTACAAAAATATAGAAAAATAGCCGAACTTGACTATGGCAAAAAGCATGAGTCGCAGATTTTGGTGATTTTCGTGAGTACAATATAAGGCAATGAAATTATAACCCATAGAAAGAGGATGAAATGCTGCATCGAATGCTCTTAAGAACTCTTGAAAATCTTGATTCCTTGAAGTGTGACGTTTATTTGAAAAAAGCGACATTACTTTCGGAACGAGCTAATACATCGCGATTTGTCAAAGCTTTGCGGAAAGGTCAAACCTTTCTAACTGCATGGCTACGTTCAAAATGGAGATCTGGTACCCGAGAGCGATTAGCGCTTAATTACACTGTAAATTAGTGTTCAAGCTAATCGAATGTCGCAACATACCTTGAGACATCTTTAGCATTACCCTAATTTCGCGAGTACAAGATGCACCTTCTTCGGTTTTTCAAGCTAGCCGTTCAGTCGCCTCGTTGTGATTTAAAAAAAGAAACTCATGCTGCTCGATACTCCGAGGCAATATGCAGTGCTGTATAGGGTACCTTGGTCGCGAAATGTTTCAATGTGTTTAGGCCGGTCTTTAGGAAGAAACAGGTGCGTCCTGTAGTCGTTAAATTAGAATAGTTGAAAACACGTACGGGAATATGAACATGTTTGGCAGATTCACTTTAACCCATTGACGACAATGCGTACCACCGGTGGCCCAGTTTTTGCCGCCAGGGACGATGTGAACCACCGGTAGCCCACACCCCTTGCAAAATCATGTCGTTTTCAGTCTAGTATCTTCTCCACAATTCAGTATTTTTTCCACTTTTTTTGCACTCTTGGAACCCGTAGACTTCCTGTCCAAGAAAATGATTGTAGTTAATTACAATACAAATTTACATTTCGTAAATAATCACAAATCCTTTCCACGCTGAAAGTGTTGTGCAAATCGCGTCGTCCCACAGCGCCGTCACACAAAATTAGTCGTCGTCGTCAATGGGTCAACAACTTTTGACAAGCAGATTGGAAAGTCTCGAAAATGTACTGTTCTGCAAGACGTTTGCTTGGCGATCTTTGAATAACTACGAGAGGAACCAGTTCAAAAACTGGAACGAAGAAGCTGTGCCAAGAATTATTATAATAGATCGTTTTATAAACTCGTAGCGTTTTTTTCTCTAAATTTCTTTAGAAAACGGTTGATTTGCGGCAAAATAGTAAATCATTGGAAATGGGATAGAGAGCTGATCTTCTCCAACTTCTAGGAAAGCTTACAGAATAGAAATCTCAAAAGTCATTAACGCGCATTTTTATCAACTTTTAGTTCTTGCCCGGCGTTTTATGCAAAATTTTCACTTATCGTGAAGAGTGGCGTTTGTACGACTGTGTGAGACAAGAAAGTTAGTTTGTTTTAGAGTACCAAAATTAGAGTACCCCCCCCCTCTATAAAAGAGAAAGTCAAATTTTTTTGGAATTGGCAGAGCTTCTGCAACTTCTTCTTGGGAGCTGCTGGACAAGAACATGGCGGTGAGCATATTACGCTACTCAACTGTACCGCAGAAAGGAGGTCATAGAAGAAACCAATTTTCATGAGAATTTTTCGCATGCGGAATATGGCCCCTTACGGCGAACGTCGTTATATGTTCTGAGAGAATTGACTGAAAAGTACATTAGTGGTTGCACTTCCAGAACCTCGTTCTGCCAGACCAACATTTGCGTCTAACGCAATATATATGAGAGGTGCCTGTTTCGAAGTTGATAAAATAAGCTTATCAAATAACTTTTCTGCAGTCAGAAGCGATTTTAAAAATGGAATTGACAGTCAGACAAGGTGGCAAAAGCACAAAAGTTAGAAAAGACCATTTTTCGTATTGAATTTATGAAACGACACTTATGAAGCAAGTGCCGAATATTGTTGTGCCGAACAGGTTGTTGGGTGGTCCTTTTGTTGTCAGTACTCTTCGACCTTACGTTTCGACGCTTTCGTCTTCATCAGAGGCCTGGAATGGTTCAAAGCTTCATCCGTAACTCCACCCCATCAAACTTCTCCACCAGCCCTTGCCAGTTCTCGGTTCTTCCCCCAATCTAGTGCTACAAGAATTGTGATGGCAAAAGACATAACATACCAGGTAAATCACCGCTTCGTTATGTGTCCGTATCGGATGTAGATGTTCGCGACGGACGACTGAGCTATACTGAGGAGATGTCACATAAACAGTTAAAGCTCACATAATGATAAAAACGAGAGGAAATCAGCGGTTATGGATGAGCACTCGTAAATGGAGTATCGTATCATTTCTCTATCTTGAAAAAAGCAAAGTTCTTTGATTATCCCCGTTACAATTACTTTGTTCGCTTTAATATAATAATAATGCTTTGCAGACATGATGATGTGGAAAAACGTGCGTTTACTTTTAAGGAGTGCTTATGGTTTTGTATGACGTCGTTGACCCCACAGGGTGAGATCATTTGCAGTCCAAGACCAATTCGCCAACTGTACAAAGTACTTTTTTTGAACACAACATCTACAGTGCTGGACATAATTATAGGGACACTCTAGAAATCGTCGTAATTTTCATTCTTGTCAGTGAATCTGTCTGAAACTTTGCTGTATGGTGCGCATGTAAGCCTACCATAGTTCCTCAGAACGGCTTCCAATCCCGTTGATTTCGAACCTAGAAAAATGGAAAAATTCGAAAAAGCTTGTTTTGCAGATTGGACATAATCATAAGGACACCTGGCCTTTTTAAGCATTATGGCATTCCTTGACTCCCAAATTTTTTTGTGGAGTTACATCCCAGAATATGAAACTTTTGCAGCACCTAGGACCTGTCATGCTACTCAAGGAAAGATGATCCTTGCATTTTTCGTTTCCAAAGGCATCAGAAGTCAAATTGCTTTAGTAAACAACTGGTTTGAAGAGTTTTCAAGCCCTTGTTCATTTCAAATGATAATCATGGAGTCTACTGATCCTTCTGGATAAATGAGGTGAAGAGCGCTTTCGTAAACTCTGTGTAATCGCTGATTTTGACGGACAGTCTTCAACCTCACCATAGGGTTCTCGTGCTTTTGCACCACAAAACTCGATTTTCAAGTTACAGAAAACGCTGCAATGTAGCCGCAACAATACACGTACAACAATAAACTTGTGTGCCTAGTCAGGAAAAAATTTCGGGGTTGCACATTCTGGTTCAGCCGCAGTTGTCATCCGTTGAGAGTTGAGTCGAGCACCCTGCACAATCATATCCAACTCAAATCAAGAAATCGAACAGGAGACCGCTTGAAACTTCAAAATCTTGCTGATCTCAGCTACCGCGCAAAATGCGACATGAAACAGAGAATAAAATAGTGAGATTTGTGATTATGTTGAATCTACTGCTCGCATAGAATTTTCGTTGGAAGTATTTCAGATCTAAATGGCAACTGCAGCACTAGAAAAAATCTAAAAGTTGTTGCAGAGATGCATCTCCACGTAGACAATGTAATGAATCGAGTCCATCACTTCATGACCATTGGAAAATGAGTTTTGTGGTGCAAAAGCGCGGTAACCCTATGGTGAGGTTGAAGTCTGTCCGTCAAAATCAGCGATTACGCAGAGTTTACGAAAGCGCTCTTCACCTC